GGAGGGTAGACACCATTTATCATTCCCTATTTTCACATCTCTGCAGAAACTTTCTTAGCAAGTTAACAACCACAGGTAATAGACTCAGTTCTGTCGATTTAGATCATGCTGTAATGCTAACAGATGTTAGCTAACTGATGATGCTTGCTGGGAGTGCACAGCTCCAGGACCTGTTTTTAGGGTCTTTGTGCTAACTGTAATGCTTCCCAGGGGTCACTGAACACAGGGCCCAAGAGGCTGAGTGACTTATAAGAGACTCAACAGCTACAGGAGAAGCAAGGTTTAACTAAGGCTTCTCCTGGAGAGACTTTTGCCCAGTATCATCTACTGGACAAATTCCATCTCAAGACTAAGGAGACATCAAGCTTATCTTGTCCATCTCCAACCAGGATAGAGAGAGCCATGAGATGACAGCACTAGATGGGAACTCTGACCCACTTATGTAGATCAGTCCACCTACTTTATAGATCAGGAAGCTGAGACCTATCAATGTTACCATCACCATAGTGACTACCATTCACTGAGCACCAATTTGTGCCAGGCACTGGACTAGGCACCCCCAAGTTGTGCTTTTATTTTATCCTAACAATAGTCCTCTAAAATAGGAATGATGTTCATTTTACAGCTGACGTTATGCTGGTCAAATGCCCAGGGTTGCACAACCAGGAAGTGGCAGAACCAGCCCTCATAGCAACTGGCACTGGAGACCAAGCAGGTGAGCACCAGAATTTGGGGCAGATCCAGGTCTCCCAGGCCAGTGCTTTTCCTGCAGAGTCACTCTTTCCTGAACTGAAGCTGTCACAAGGCATATTCAGTGTGTTCTCGTGACTGAAGGCAGCTGATTCAACTCCCAACATGCCTGTACTCTCAGTTTACCCCGTGGCATCCACTTGAACATCTTGACACAGACAGAGCTCTGTTCCAGCACTTTATGCATGGTCACGTGGTACTCACAACATGCCCTAGTGACTGAGAGTGAAAAGCTCCAGGATATGCCAGACACATTGGAAGAACCCACTGCCCAGGCTGGCAGGCCTTCTCGAGTGTCTTCCAAATACCATGTGCAGTAGAATCACCTGAGATGCACATTAAGGTGCAGATCACAGGACTCCACCCCAGCCTACCCAATCAGCCTCTTAGGTGGCAGCACCTAGGAATCTGCGTTTTAACAAGTTCCATGAATGACTTGTGCCACTCAACTGTGAGAACCGTTCTACCCTGAAGTTTCAAAGGGATACATAATACTCAAGGCAGGTATGTAGCCCTTTTTGGCTGGATGTGTGTACTTATTTTGCGTCATTCTTCCACATTCTACCTGCTGGCACAATTGTGAGAAGGATAAATATTCTCAAATCTTAGGGATGTATTGCTTTAATGAAGATGGCTCAATTGTGCAGGATCTGGATTTTATGCAAAAAATCCTTTTAAAGAATGGCCTCATTCCCCTACCTCCATCCCACCTGTTTAAACAAACAGCAACAGAGGCAGAGACTTTTCTTGAGAGGAATGAGTTTTGCCATGGGTAGCCATGTGTAGCTACTTATTTTCTGGACCAATCTCCTTCAGTACCTGCACAAGATCATGATGTTCCATGTATTCAATGCTTCCTTCACTCACAGACTGAAGTTAAGTGTTTCACTGTGCTGGACGCTTTGGTCATCTTGACCTTTCTACAGACAGCAAAATGTCAAAAGGAATTACTTTCCCCTTATAGAAGGACAGCTCCCCACATACAAGTTGAGAGGGTATTCTTCTTTTATGCCCAGAGGCTCCCTCGTGTTCTCAAGGAAAATGTCAGATAATCCACCTGCCCTTGCTTATGCACGTGGTTCAGCTTGCAAGTTTGGTTTCTTCCTGGCTAGACCCTGAAAGTTACCTTGTTCGGGTTGTGGGTATACCTGGGCCCAGCTGGGTGTGATGGCCCTGCATGGCAAAGAACAACTCTGCTTTCAGCCTACCGAGCTGACAAGCTGCAGCCTCCAGGTTCACACCAAGAGATACTGACCTCTGCCCTAGCCTCTCGTCAGATGGAATTGTGCAAATATTTGCCTCCGCCAGCCTGCAGCATAATACTTAAGAGCATGGACTCTGGAGGCAAACAGACCCGGATTTAAATCCCAGCGCCACCATAGCCACACATTTCTAATTTCTCCAAATCTTTCCCCATTTACAAAACATCAAGAATGATACCCACCAGGGTGAGTGCCATGGGGCAGGGGGCAGAGGGTGGGTCAGTAAGCAGAGGTGACGTGTGTCCCTTGAAAGGAATGGTCCTAGCTTCTCCTTCACCTCCCCTTTCCTTGGCAAGATGTGGAGGTGATGGCACAACATCTTCAGCCATAGGGACAAAAGCGACACCCCGGGGGAATAACCAGCAAGAAGAAAATGAACAGGCCTTGAACTCTTTACTCTTGAATTATTACACAAGACATAAAAGTATATTCTAAAGAAGAATTTGTTGAGTGATCATACAGAAGCTGAAACAATACCCTAATTAATACCACGGGCAATGGGCTCCCCTCCCTTAAAGAGTATATTTTTGCTCTCGGGACATTTTCTTAGAAGATACCGCCGGCTTCATCTCCAATTAGCCAGGGATATTAGAGGGTCCTATACCGAGATCTTCGGAAGAAATGCTCTCTGCCTGAGTTCTTCTTCAGTGCCTTTGTCGGGCCCTACATCTTGCTGGCCTCTGCGGCTATTAACAAGGATTGTTCAACAGCTCTTTCCAAAGAATGAGCAGGTTTGCAGGGAGTTCTGCACAGAACACATAAGAAGATTGTGTCCTGTTGGAGTCCCACGCAGAGGGTGGGGCCTCTGCTGCTCCCCCTCCCCCCACACCCTTTCCCTCCCAGCATGTACAGCATGTATCCCTGCAGCTTCTGGGTTCCCATTACTGCACTTACATTTGCTGAAATTATTCTCATGCCTAACTCTCCCGCTAGGTTTTGAGTTTCTTCAAAGATAAAAACAGTGTCTCAGACCAGTATACAATGCTTATCATTTAGAAATGCTTAATCATATAAATACTTATTTTTAATTCACTCATAATACCCAACGCCTTTCCTTAGGATAAAGTTATGCTGCAAAGGCTGTGACCTCTGCCTTCCTCTCGAGTCTGGCTTCAGGCTGAGTCACACACACTTGCCCATCATCCTCACTGGCTCCTTGGCAACTCACTTTTATTCTGTCTGCAAACAACCTTCAGGAGCTTGAGTGGCGTTGACAGAACAAGGATTGAGGAAAGAGGCATTGTGATCCTGAACGGATGTTTTTCCTTTTGGGAACCTATAGATAAGGCCCAAGAGTCAAAAGTGCAGCCCAAATAGCAAGATCTAACCTTATACCATTCCCATCTTCCTGTCTGTTTGGCCTTAGAGAAGCTTGATTTAGCCCCTTGTAGAAGCACAGAGTCTCTTCCCCTTGTTGCCAGGGATGTTTCTGTCTGGGGCTGTCAACACTAGGGAGATTCATGAGCAGGCATGTGCTAGTGGAAGTCAGCAGGCTGTGTCAGCAAACGGCAGACTGGAAGCCCTGCTGGGTCTGGTTTTGAACTTACTCTTCAGCTGTGATGTAAGAGTGGCCATGCCTCTTCCTGGGATAATCAGAGACGAAGGGAGTGTCTTCTCTTGGCATCTTGTAGGGTCAGGGCACAGGACACCTAACAGAAGGAGCACGTGGGCATCATTAAGGCATCCGAAGCCACCCTATTCATCATCTCATAAAGACCCACAACAGCATCCTAACTAGGTGACCAATATCCATAGCCAGGATTCTTTGACCTGTGACGGGATTTGCACCTGCTTCTTTCATTGATATCAAGGGCTTTAGCAACAGCTCAGCTTTCTAACCCCTCCTACTAACTAAAAATTAAGCTCGAAGAAGAAACTACAGACAAAAGCAAAAAGGCTTTCAAGTTGAGTTATTATTTGGTGAAAAACTGCTCCTCATTGCCATTGATTTGACTCTGCACCATAAACTTCTAGAGAACCAAACAAAAAGCATTTTTACTGATTCTCTACCTTCCCTGGTCCAGGGCTGTGGCTAAGAAGTTAAGAGGAGTTATTTTTCTCCAAAGTTGTTATTAGACTTCAATCCCTGGGCAGAGGCTATGATACACAACGTATGCTTCCCAGAGCGCCCACTGCCTGTGCCTCGCAAGGGTGCATGAGGTTGAGCACTGAGCACAGCATCTTCCAGCCCAGTTTTTCAGCAAAGGAAACCACCCCACACAAGGGCTTCAGCTCGTCCTAGGCACTCCACACAAAACAAGCTAAGGAAGCCCAGGACCTGACTTTATCTGACAGTGTGTTTCCCCTGCCACCTAAATCAATTTCTGCTTCTCTCTGGTTCAAGTCCCTTGGCTAGGACTTTTTTTTAACTATAACAAATACAAATGAATAATAACAAAAGATGTCCATAAACTGCAGTGGCTGTAAGTCAAGTATGTTCATTAAAAACTAATAATGGAAGCTTCTCTCCTTGTTGTGTATTTGTCAGCTCTTTTACTGTTCTCATGAATTTTGAAGATCTGGTCCCCATAGAATTATATTAATGAGCTCCAGTTTAAAACAACAGGGAGAGGTGGGAGAGAAGAGTGGGGATTTCACCACATGACCACTTTCCACTGGGACGTTTTACATGTAATTTACCCTTCCCAGTTGTAAAAACAAAATTAAAGTCAAACTCACCAATCCTCTGAAGTGAATAATATAGGAGTGAACTCTGTGTTCAAAATGACAGAATGGACATTCAATTCTGCATTCAATTGTTTTCATACATCCTATACCTCAAGCTCAGACCTTGGCAGATGGTGCAGCAACAGCAAATGCGCCTCTTACCACTCAGATCAGGAGAAGTGGTTCTTTAAGTGACAGGAGAACACATCTACCTTAGGGAGGTGGCTTCTCCCCAGCAAGTGCCATCCTGAATAATTGCTTTTCTTCTTGGCAGTCTTGGAGGACTGAGAGAGGACCCAGGAGGAGACTTTGTGAACCCTCTGAAGATGGAGACTGACAAACATTGAGGAGAAATTCCGTTGACGTCACACATCAGCAGGGCAATGAGGATAAGCAGAGGACTTTGCCAGAATTTCCCAAATCCTATTCCGGGAGAAGAGGACTATGATTATGGTGAGAAGGCAACGCTCTTACCTTCCTTAATGAGAGAGTCCTCCGTCCGCCAGCTGGCCGTGTGTGAAGACTGCTTCTCTGGCTCTTACTCTTTTTTACTTATTTTTTTTTTCTGGTCTTGAGTCTCATGATAGTCACGGGTTTAGATTTCTGACAGGGTCGTCTGTAATTGCTTAATTGGCATGAAAGAAACCAACTTCCTTCCATAAAAAAGTCACAGCTGACTGTGGCCTCTGTTTTCCCCAGTCCCCATGCCCTAACCAAGTGAAGTCATTTATTTTCAGTGTTGGTCCGTCCTCCATAAGATCGCCACATCACATAAAATATGGAATGCCCAGTTAAATTTGAACTTCAGATTGAACCATGAACAGGTTTTTAATACAACTATATTCCACAGAATATTTTATATCCACATATTCTATAGGACATACACTAAAAAAGTTATGTTTTGTTTATCTGAAATCTACATTTGTTTTTCTCATGTCAGATGGGTAATGCGCCAATGTCATTGTAACAAGGTGTGAGGGAGGCACATCTCACACATAAATATGAAACCCCAATCATCACACTTATGAAATACAAAAGGATCTGAAATCCAGACTTAACTGGGTTCCCTATTCCCTCCCTCATCTCCATCTCAAAAGGTTGAAGAGTCTTTAGGTGCAGATCTGGAGATCATCTTGTTCCAGACTCTCAGGGAAATAGAGAATCCCTGAAACCTCCTCAGCTGAGCTCCATGAGTTCTCTATGATGCCCTTGGAGTTAACTGTCCACTGGAGATAGTGGGTTTCCATGCATCTGCAAGGGATAGACGAAATTTTCTCTTTGCAGGTGAAATATGACCTACTTAGACATCTATTAGGTTGATGCAAAAGTAATTGCAGTTTCAGATGTTGAATTTTTAAATTATTATAACTAGGTTCAAGCACATCTTTATTAATCAAAATAGAAACTATTAAAAATCAAGACTTTTTTGCCAACGAGAAATAAGTTTGCTTACTCCTGTAGCATACAAATTCATGAAACTTTGTATTCATTTTCTGCATCTGGTTGTGGAAGTGTTTTCCCTGCAAAAAGTTGTTGAGATGCTTGAAGAAGTCATAGTTGGTTGATAAGAGGTCAGGTGAATATGGTGGATGAGGCAAAATTTGTAGCCCAATTCGTTCAACTTTTGCAGCGTTGGTTGTGTGACCTGCGGTTGGGTGTTGTCATGGAGAACTGAGCTTTTTCTGTTGACCAATGCTGGCTGCAGGTTGCACTTTTCAGTGCAACGCATTGATTTGATGAGCATACTTCTTAGATGTAATGGTGTCACCAGGATTCAGAAAGCTGTAGTGGATCAGACTGGCAGCAGACCACCAAACAGTGACCGTGACCTTTTTGTGGTGCAAGTTTGGCTGTGGGAAGTGCTTTGGAGCTTCTTTTTGGTCCAACCAGTTGTCATATAAAATCTACTTTTCATTGCACATTGCAAATCACTTGAGAAATGGTTTGTTGTTGTTGTGTAGAGTAAGAGAAGACAACACTTCAAAAAGACTATTTTTAAAATTTTTGCTTAGCTTGCGAAGCACTCACTAAGTGAACTTTTTCACCTTCCCAATTTGCTTCAAATGCTGAACAACTGTAGAATGATCATCCTTGAATTGTTACACAACTGCTCATAGTTAAAAAAGGCTAAGCTTTGACAATTGCTCTCAATTGGTAGTTGTCAACTTCCAATGGCCGGTCACTACACTCCTCATCTTCAAGGCTCTTGTCTCCTTTGCAAAACTTCTTGAACCACAACTGCACTGTACATTCATTAGCAGTTCCTGGGCAAAATGTATTGTTAATATTGTAAGTTGTCTCTGCTGCTTTATGATCCATTTTGAACTCGAATAAGAAAATTGCTCGAATTTGCTTTTTGTCTAACATCATTTCTATAGTCTAAAATAAACACAAAATAAATAGCAAGTAATAAGTCATTAGCAAAAAAACATAAAGTGAGAAATGCCCATCACAATGATGTAAAACATAACCACATTTATTTAAGAATGCATTCTAGGCCGGGCGCGGTGACTCACGCCTGTAATCCCAGCACTTTGGGAGGCCGAGACGGGTGGATCACGAGGTCAAGAGATCAAGACCAACCTGATCAACATGGTGAAACCCCGTCTCTACTAAAGATACAAAAAATTAGCTGGGCATGGTGGCTCATGCTGTAATCCCAGCTACTCAGGAGGCTGAGGCAGGAGAATTGCCTGAACCCAGGAGGCGGAGGTTGCAGTGAGCCGAGATTGCGCCATTGCACTCCAGCCTGGGTAACAAGAGCGAAACTCCATCTCAAAAAAAAAAAAAAAAAGAATGCATTCTAGGTGAAATCCTATCTCTACCAAAAATACAAAAATTAGCCAGGTGTGGTGGTGGGCTCCTGTAATCCCAGCTACTATGGAGGCTGAGACACAGAACTGCCTGAACCAGGAGGTGGAGGTTGCAGTGAGCCAAGATCATGCCACTGCACTCCAGCCTGGGTGACAGAGGGAGACTCTGTGTCAAAAAAAAAAAGTGTTTTCTAATATCAGACAGCAAAGTCCCACAGTGCAAAAACCACAGTTACTTTTGCACCAGCTAATAATTGACCCCAGAGCTGATTATACTTAACATCGTCATCTACCTTGTATAGTCCATAAGCATTTCAGTGGGACAAAACAGTCACCTTTGCCCACCAGCTCTCCATAGCCATTGTGAATAAGCAAAACAAAGAAAAAGACCCCCACCAGAATTAAGGAATATGACAGTCCTAGCAGCTGAGGACTTAGATTAAATGACCACTTCGGTCCCCTTCCCCTTAACATCTGAGGACCCACTCCTTTCAGCTCCTGTGACTTTCTGGTTTTCACTGTGAGCTATGGACAAAGGCTGTCCTGTGTGAGGGCAGTACCAACCCACTGGATACTGGATAGTCACCAATGACAATGGTAAGGGAGAAAGAAGACAAAAAGGGTTGATCTTTGTTAGACAAGACAGGGAGAGCGTATCTGTAAAGGAGGGAAAATTAAAACTGAGACCTAAATGGTAAGAAGAATTCAGCCATGAAAAGATGGAGAGAGAGCATTTCAGAAACAGAGAACAACCTGTTGGAGACCTTGAGGTAGAACAATAGAGCATGACTCACACTGGGTTCCCAGAACGGAGGCTAGCTCAGGAAATTCTGTACAAAAATTGGGAAGGATAAGCCCCTGGTGTCAGTAGATTTGGGGAGAGCAACTTCAACCTGAACTTTAGGGTTAAGCCTGAATATCCCAGAAAGTCCTAGTGGTGAGTACTAGTCTACAAAGAGGGGTGTAGTTCTGAGCTGAAAAGACCACTGCACTGAGCTGAGCTCTACAATAGTCTGGCCCATGGATGGGTGGTGGCAAGACCACAGAGGAGGGAGTACTGACCTGTATCTCAGGGCAAAGTGAAGTTCCCAGGTCTCACTCAAGTCCTCCGGTGATGTGACCTGACTCAGGGATTGAGTGTTCCCTGGCATTCTTCCCCTCCCCCGGAGGATGCTATAGGACCAGACTCAGCATGTTGGACACACAATGGCCAGTCTGGGAGCATGCTCTCCAGCTTGTTTGGGGTTTTTTTTTTTGGTGGTGGTGGTCGTGGGGAGGCAGTCTCGTTCTATTGTCCTGGCGAGAGTGCCATGGTTTGATCTCGGCTTACTGCAACCTCTGCCTCCTGAGTTCAAGTAATTCTCCTGCCTCAGCCTCCTGAGTAGCTGGGACCACAGGTGCGAACCACCATGCCCAGCTAATTTTTATATTTTTAGTAGAGACAGAATTTTGCTATGTTGGCCAAGATGGTCTCGAACTTCTGACCTCAAGTGGTCCACCCACCTCGGCCTCCCAAAGTGCTGGGATTACAGGCATGAGCCACCGCACTCGGCCCTTGTTTGCTTTTTGAATTCAACGAGGGAGTCCCAACCAGATCTTTCACAGGCATCTCTTTGGGTTTTTGAGTGGTCTGCAGCTTCCGAGGCACCGAGTCCTTTCAGGGTTATGTGAGCAGGATAAGCTGGCTATTGCTTCTTCAAAGGGTTCCCTGGGCACCTCAACTTGAAAATCCTACCATATCTTGTTTCCTGGAAGCCCCCCAAAAGGTCCCTCTAACTAGGCATAGTCTTTGTTTTGAGCTGGTCGCAGGCCTCAGAGTCCATGTGAGAGCCAGCCCAAGCCAGGCCCTACCTGCTTTCACCTTCTACACTTCCAAGTGGCTTCCTTTTCTCCCCTGGCAATATAGTCCCAAGCTAACAGCAGGAGCTCCAAAGTCCAAATCACCTGCACTTCATCTCTTCAGTGTGTGTGACCTTGGGCAAATCGCAAACCTCTGGAAAGTCCCAGTGCATGCATCTGAAATGAAAGGGATAGCATCCACTTCACAGGTTCATGGTGAGTGTTAAAGGAGATCCTGTTGGAAGTGCTTGGTGCAGCACCTGGCACAGAATATGCCACACAACAGTGTGAACTTTTACTGTGAGGCAGCTTAGATCCGGCCCCTGCTCCGGCCCCCGTACCAGCCCCAGGGTTAGGATTTGTACCGGTTAGACGTCGCCGGCCACTGACTGGCTCTCTGCTGCCACCTAGTGGGCTTGGTCTCCTGGCAACGCAGACCCACCTCATGAAGGGGCTAGAGATGCCTCTTAGGTCTTTGCAAAACCCTGCTGCTTACAGTGCTCAGGAGCCAGAATCCTCTTTACTTATCCTGTGTGGGGCTTAGGCCCTCTTCAGTGCCCCCCACAATACTGTGGGCTTTTACTCTGTCACACACACCGCAGAGGCATTGCTATAAATGGGGGATGATGCCCAGCTCCTCAGGTTTCCCCTTTCGGCCCAGGCTAGTCATGCCTCCACTGTTCCCTTTTGGTAAGGCTGCAAGCCCCAGGCGCCAATAGATTTGGGGAAAGCAACTTCTACCTGAACTTGAGGTTATGCCTGAAAATCCCACAAAGTCCTGTTGCCCTTTTGTGGGAGGAG